ACTCACCATTGTTTATAGGGTTGCTTGTCATTTAATCTTACACCATGCAGTTTGGTCAAAATTCTACTCTTGTTACAGGGAACACAAGATAATAAGTGTCGCTAGTTTGATTGTTTGCACAAACTGCCATAAAAAGTCAAACTTTTAAGTTGAGTCAAACTTTTTAATTGAATAAAAAAAAAGACAGCAAAAGGGGACAAGACAGTGTTCTGTATATGCCATGTGTATTAGCAAATGGACTTAATTAAGTTTTTCACTAGCATGTTAGATATATGAGGAAATGTAGGAAAATATGTATTTTGTAATTTTTTGTTGCCTCTCCCCCCACCTCATTTTCACCATTCAATGGTGAACCATTGCTAAGATACATGTATGTTTTAGAAGATACATTGTATCAATTTGTATTTCCCATAGTGTACTCCTCTGTGGTCCAAAATTCTTTCTTTTCTTGTACTGGTATGTTCATGCCTATAGCTCATTTACTCATGGCAAATTCCAAGTTCTTATGGCATTTTAAGGGGTGAAAATAAGTGGCACAACATTTTTTGACATCTGAAAAATATTACAGACGTGGTGTCACTAAAATTTGAATAACTTTTGATCAAAATGAGATAGATCAATAATTAAAATGGTTTATTCATATTCAGATATGTAATAGTAGTTATGTGTGTAAAATTTGTAGGTTAAGTAGAAAAAAATATGTGTGGACCAGTCTTGATGTTATGAGCAAGTATATTATATGTGAATGCAGTCAGTATTACATACTGCACTTGTTTTTCATATAACCTTAGGGTGCTTGCTGTCACCTTTGTTATATGCCTGTAAAAAAGTAGGGCAAATGTGTGATGTAGGGGTCAGGGCAACTTAAAAAAAACATTATAATAAATCATATAATAATCCAGTCCTAAGTTTGCATTACCATCTTGTTTTTATCTAAATTTATGCCTATTTGTATCATGATTATGAGTCTTTAGGTATGATGTTTGCTAGTAGCCATCAGTTTTAGGGACATTATTAAATACTCAAGCTGCAAAATATCTGTTAAGATAAATTGTATCTGTTGACCAAGCATGGGAGACTATCTGAACCACAAATCTTGAGCTTTGATTTACACAGTAGATACTATCTTTGTCAAATTACTAGTAAGTTCAACAAACCCACATGATTCAGTTGTGCTTTTGCATCAAGTAGAACTTCACAACATAACAAAATCTATGTTTTGTATTTTTAATTTGTTTTAGAAGAAAATGCTGCGAGCGGCATCTGGAATCTTTCCTCTCATGGTGAGGACGGCAGTAGGCAGTCATGTTAGGAAGCTTGGTAAGTTGGTGTACCTCCCTGAATTGGTAAGGTGAAAGGCCCTCCTGACTCTACTCAAACATAGGCCAAGCATTTTCTGACATATTTTCAGTGTCCTGGATGGAGGGAAAAACATAGATCCTTGTTCAAAGACATAGAAACTGTGATATCCTTATTTTTTACTTTATTGATAAATTATATGGAGTATAATGGCCATTTCTGAAATATGACCACTTGGGGAGATTTAAACTTTTTTGTCTATTTTAAGTTGCCCCAATTCAAATATCAAATTTTTAAAAAATTTTTTAGAAACTCCTTTTTATTTTCATTTCTTTGTTTTATGGCATTTGGCATTTACAGTGTGAATGATTTGAGTTTTAATGCTAAGTAATTTGATTCTCTTCTGGTATCTGTATTGAATTATTAGGTATATATTTTAGTATCTCGACCTGCTGCTCTGACGCTGGTACGTACCATGACAGAAAAAGTGGAACAGTTGAATGAATTTCAAAAATCAAAGCTGAAACGGAAATTTTTCTTGTATGGTAGGTATTGCCTTAAGTTTCCATGTACAGTCGGGTAAAATTCTTTCCCAAAATGTAATTATATTCTATTAAAACAAAGAAATTTGTGTATTGCATGAATATCGTATTGATTTCTGAACTGCAACTCTATAGCATACAGATATCAGGAAATGATAAAATTGAAAAGATTATATTTCCTATGACTGATCTAACATATACATACAAAGTACAGTGATGTATTGCAGTTATTATCAAGGGGGAGTCAATTTCTGTCCCTCATATACCCTTTCTTCTAAGAGATACTTTTTTTGTTATTACTGTATCTTTTTTATAAGACCATATAACACACTACATAAAGCACATTACAAAGCAGTACAGTATTTGCATACAACATGTAGCAATGCCTTACAAAACACATGGTTCTTCAAACTTTTGCTGACTGTAAAAATATTGCAGCAAATGCAGTTGAACCTCTAGTCTTGAAACATTAAGCATTTTAGTCTGGCAAAGTTACGTTTTATTTGATTACAGATATAGATGATGATGGTTTTGTGGAACGTGAAGACTATGACAATTACATAGCGGTAAGTGTTATTATTCATGAAGATTGAAACTTATTTAGATTGTAAAATAATAATGCTGTCATTTGCCAGTGTCAGCAGTGACACCTAGGTGACAATCCTGTGACCACAGTCTGATGAATACACCTACGTGAAGAGCTTGACTAACTTTCAGGATTCATTATTTACTTATATAAAGAAGGAATTATATCTATAAGGGAATTGTTAGTTATAATCTATCCATATTAATTTACAGACTCTTTTCCAAATTACTGAAAGTAAGGCATGCATTTAAGATTATATGATTAAAATTATGCTGGAACTTATTAAAATATTTTCTATAATTATATTTGATTTATCAGTTTGCATTTTTGGTTAATATGGAGTGGTGCCATCTTTCATTTTCAGACAAATAAACTAGGCCCTATTTGCATTCATACAAGTTACAGTCTCGGTCGTCCATTTTAACCCTTATTGAAAATTTAAAAAATTTTCTCCATTTTCACTTTGATAAGTTCATTTCAGAAAATCAAGGAAGCATATGATCTCAGTGATGACGACCCTCTTTTGAAAGCCTTTGAAGTGGAATTTGAATCCCACTGGCAGCAGATGCTCAATTTTATGGATGAAAATGCAGATGGACAGCTTTCGCTTGAGGAATGGCTGCATTACTATCCAAAGTGGGTACAGCTTATAGTAAAAAGGTGGCAGGGTCTGATTTTTTAATAAAGAGCTGAAAAAGTTGCTTTACCAGCTGGCAAAGAGCAAAATAAGATGAGCTGAATATAAATGACAGTTTTGTCCACCGCCTATATAAATTGCTATGCCCATCTGGAATATATTGTTATTTTTAAAAAGATATGGGAAAATAGTGAAAAAGTATCCTTTCTTCAGAATGATTTTTTTTTAAATCCCAGCTCTAACTGCAAAACTGTCTAACATGTGTGCTCAATTTTCATGCTATTCTGTTAATAAGTGGTTGACATTCAGAGTATATTTCAGTCTTTTTACAATCATTAAGTATATTTCACTTCTTATTTCAGCATCACAGCCAACGTTCATGCCAAAAACCAAGATAATTTGCCCACATTTCTCCTTACCATGGCAGACACCTTGTTTGACTTGATGGACACCAAAAGTAAGGCAGGATCCTAAATAAATAAGATTTTTGTGCACATATGTTTTACCATCCTGTTTGTTCTTCACTCATTTTAGTACCTGTACAATGTTACCGTCGTAGCTTTTATTTAATTTCTTTTTGTGCTCATATCATTAAAAAGATAATCAAAGCCATTTTATCTGCTCCAAAATTTTAACAGGGGTTTGTTACATTTTCTGTGATACACTTATCTTGTAAATAGGATCATGGATAACATTTTTGGAATGCATTTTAGCAGATAAAACAACTCCCAAGGAAATGAATTTCAAATAAGTATGATAATATGGTTAGGCACTAGCATTATACATAATCACCAAACAGTTGAGTTTTATTTAATGAACACAAACTTGGAATAAAAGGACGTAATTCTTTTTTAAATTTATTTTCATGTAGTAATAATGCTTTATTCAAAGCTCTATGTTTTGGAAACTGATTTTAACACTCCTTTTATATCCTTATACTCTGCAGCTTATACGTCACATGCATCTGGTGACAATATATATAAACATAAATACTATTCATTATACAACAACTCAGCAATAATGTGTAAATAAATGATATATAGTGTATGAAATTGCAAGAATGTATGTATTATATTTCAGAGGATGGTGTAATTGATGCTGAGGAATACAGTGAATTTTGGACCAAATTTGATAGAAGATATCCCGTGGATGTGGCTACAGCTAAAGAGCACCTGGCACATTTAACAGAGGTGATAAGAATAGATTAGATTAGATTAC